TACCCAACACATGTGCAGATACATTTATCTCTGTAGATACAAATGTATGCATTGTGTGTTGCCTATTTTACRTATTTTTAAATTATATATGTGTGTTTATAAATTATATATTTGTATACTCTACTGTGTCATTACCATTATATAATTAAGTGTGCACTTCATCTATACATTGTGTTTAATATTGTGGTCTGTTTTATATATTCTGTGTATATATACCAAATATATTACACAGAAATTACATTACACATTATATTTACATATTACATATGTTTTATATTACATATATTTTAATATTGCATATTATACATATATTTACATGTATGTATTTATATATCTGTGTGTGTGTATAAGCATACATTGCATTATATATAATATTTATATATTACACTGTAAGTATCATTACAATGATATCAACATGTGTATATTTTATTTATAAATTGTGTTTAACATTGTATCCTAGGGTTTATATATCCTATGCATGTTACAAACCAAACCCCACATATGTAATGTTACACATTACATTTCACCTTATATTTAAATGTTGTATGTATTTATATACATATATACACATATATATGTGTATATGCAAGTATACATTACATTGTTTATAGTATTTATATATTTCCCTTTATGTATCATTACAATTATATAATTACRGGTGTATTTTATTTATATATTGTCTTTAATATTGTAGCCTATGTTTTACATATTTTATGCATTTATACAGAGTATAATACATATATATTACACAGCACATTATGTTAATATGTTGTATTTTTATATCTACACGTATACGTGTATATATAAGTACACATTGCACTGTATATGATACTGTGTCATTACAATTATATAATTAGGTGTATTTTTATTTATACATTGTCTTTAATATCATAGTCTAYGTTTTATATAWTCTATGTATTTATACAGCGTATAKTTTTTTGCCCCCGACCCTTCTCAACACACCCCTTTTCCCACCCATTCTTCCCATATTTTACCTCCTCCCAGCCCCTTCCTGCCTCCAGCCCCTCCCTCCCACTCCCAAATCCCACAGCCSCTCTGCCACTGATCCTATTTCCTCCCAGCCCATCCCATTCCCTTACCCACTCTTCCCATATTTCAGTGCACCCCAATCCCCTCCAGTCCCCTCTGAAACCTTCCTGCTGYCCATTCCCAAATCCCATACCCCCTCTCTGTCACCCCTCTCCCCCTGCCCATCCCCAAATCGCACACAGCCCGTTCCAGACCCTGTGAMAATCCCACACTCTCTCCAGCCCCATTCCCTCGCCCCCTTTTYCCCTCTCAGCTCATCCCCCTTCTCCCACCCACTCTTCCCATATTTTACCTCACTCCGGGACTCCCTGCTGCCCCCAGCCCCTTCTGCACCCTCTCTCCCTCGCCCTTTCCCACCCCTCTCCCCTGTCCACCCCCAATTCCCACACAGCCCCTTCCAGACCCCACACTCCAGTTCCAACCCCCTTCCCAAAGCCCCCTGTCCCCCTGAGCTCATCCCCCTTCTCCCCGGCCCCCCGCAGCCCCCGGCCCGCTCTGCCCCGGCCCGTTCCCCTCTCCCGCACGCCCCACAGCCGCCCCGGCCCCTCACCGCCCGTGGCCCGGCCCGTAGGAGCGGCCCGGGGACACCGCGCCTCAAGGAGACTCCGACCGCGGCCGCCGCCATCTTGGCACTGCGCAGTTCCTTCCGCCCCGGAAGTGCCCCCGCCCTTCCCGGAAGTTTCCCCTCGCCGCCGCCATGTTGCGGCGCTGACGGAGATGTGGTCCGCCATTTTGGGAGTGGCAGCGCCCTCAGGARAGGCGCCATGTTGAGTGTGGCGCGCCCTGAGGCACACGGCGGGATGGCGGGGGCGGGACGCCTAATTCCCCCTTTTTCTTTCGGTGGAAATTCTCTGTGTTTTCTCTCCGTTAATTCCCAGCATCATTATTTTGCACGGAGGTGCAAAAATATGCACAGAGGTGCCGTCTCCCCTCTCCCCCATGCCAAGAGGGCGAATGGCAGGTGCTGGGGGGCAAAGAATCCCAGAATTAATAAGGTGAGAAAAGCCCTCCAGGACCACCAGTCCATCCTATGCCTGGACTGATCCCCACTCTGTCCCCATCCCATGGCACCGAGTGCCACCTCCAGCCCTGCCTCGGTCACCTCCAGGGATGGGATCCAAACCTCCCTCCGCAGCCCCTGCAAAAAAAATCCCCCCATTGGAAATGATGTAACTTTCCTAATTAACTTTTAATTATTTTTTTTAATTACTTGTAACTGATGCCCACTTTTAGCCAGCGCAAGTTGAAGACGCTTCTTCACAGACTCTTCCTGTTATTTTGCACATTAAATCTCTGAAACATTGGGTTTGTTGAAACTAACCCTGGAAAGCTTCAGAGCCGAAGGGATTTGAAAATTGGACAAATGGGATTTTAAATTTATGAATTTTGAAGGACGTCAGAGTGACCAGGAGATACAGAGGAGATTGGAAAGCTGGAGATTCCCAGAACAAGTTGCAAAAAGGATGATTAAAGGGCTAAAGAACGGGGCCCAGGTTAGCAAGGAGAGCGAGAAATGAACACCCCATAGCGGACACAGTGCCAATCGAGGCAGAGAGCTGCTGGAACCAATGAACAGGGATTTCTTTGTTAAAAGTACGTAAATAAGTGAAGGTGTTTCSTATCATTGTGGGGACTGGAGCTTTGCCAGCCGCACAAACCCTGGCCAGGAATGAAATGATGCCTGAGACACTAAAAATATGATGTTAGGGACAATTTTGGGGGATTTTAGTGACACCCCCAGCCCTCCTCACCCCTCCTTGGGCCTCTGTCCCTTCCTCCCCCCATTATTCCCAAAGATTATTTMATTTCCCAGCTTTTTCCTCACAGCAAAATGGTTTATTGAGTGAATTGCAAACAACACACACTGGAAAATCATTGGGGGGAAGATGGAGGGAGGAGGAGGAGGAGGAAGGGGAGGAAGAGAGAGGAGGAAGAGGTGGAAGAAGGGGAGGAGGGGAAAAAGGAGGAAGGGCAGAAAGAAGAAGGAGAAGGAAAAGGGGAAGGGGAGGAAGGCAAGGAAGAGAATGAGGAGGAGAATGATAAGGGAGAGAATGAGGAGGGAGATGAGGAAGATGAAGAAGAGAAGGGAGGAAGAGAAAGGAGGAAGAGGAAAATGGAGAGGGAAGAAGAAGAAGAAGAGAACAGAGAGGAGGGAGAGAGAGGAGGAAGAGGAGGAAGATGAGGAAGATGAAGAAGAGGACAGAGAGGAGGAGGAGGAAAAGGAGGAAGAGAAGGAAGGGAAGGAGAAAGAGGAGGGAAAGGAGGGAAAGGAGAAGGATGAGGAAGATGAGGAAGAGGAGGAATGGCAGGAGGAGCAGGCCTAGGGCGTGCAGTGCCACCAGGGGAAGGCGAAGGGCCGGCGCCAGACCCCGGTGCCGCAGCGCACCTCGCCCAGGCTCCCGTGGTACGAGGCCACGTCCTCCAGGAAGCGGCAGCGCAGCCCCAGCGGCTCCAGCAGCTCCCGCAGCCGCCGCTCYACGCAGCACTCGCCGCCTGCCACTGGCCCAAAGGGCTTGGGGATGCCCAGCTCCCCYGCCAGCACCAGCATGGGCACCTGCRGTGGCACCGGGGACAGCGCTGTCACCAGTGGGGAGCCAAAGGGAACATGCTGGTCACCCTCTGCTACCTCCCCAGCGGTGCTGTCTGTGGCTGCCCCACTCAGCATTCCAAATCCAGCAGAATTCCCCCTTTTTATCATCAAAATGTGCCTCTCACCTTGCAATTTCACCACTTTGTGCCTCAAAACCCCACTGCAAATCCCACAAAACCACCAGCTGAATTAGACCTGGGTTTAGCCTGGAGATATTTCCCTTTTCTAGACAACTGGTTTTCTGTTTTTAAGAAAACTTTGAGGTCTCATCCYGRGAAAACTCCTCACACTCTGCAMTTTCACCACTTTGTGCCTCAAAACCCTGCTGGGAATACCACAGAGCCACCAAGCTGAGTTAGACCTGGGTTTATCCTGAACATATTTCCCTTTCCTGGACACCTGATTTTCTGGTTCTAGGATAACTTTGAGGTCTCATCCTCTCACCGTGTTGGGGAAGTAGGGCACGGCCTTGCCATGCTTGTCCAGCTTGAAGAGGGCCGGCAGGTCAATGATGTCCTCCTCGAGCAGCCCCAGCTCCTGCTTGAGGATGTCCCTGTTCCAGTCGATGCAGCGCTGCGGGGACGGGGCAGAGCAGAGAGGGGCCAGGCTGTGGTGGTGACTGTGACCGGGAACACTCGGATTATTGCCCAGGATATCAGGGATTTACCTGGACGTACTGGTTCTGCTGTGCCAGGGCATCGTTGGACAGGACCTTGTTGATRGTGATGCGCTTGGTGTCGGTCCCCGAGTACCCTAAACACACAAAATCCCCAAAATCCAGCAGCGCTGGCAGGAGCCTGGCTTGGGACAGGGGACAGAGATGGGGAAAGCCCCCAAAATCCCAGTTTCCTGAGAGTGGGGTCAAGGCTGCTTGAATCTCAATTGTGAGATTGAGATGATTGGGAAAGTGAGGGAAGAAAATCTCTGCCCGTTGGAAAAGCATTGCAAAATCCTGTCATCCCTCCCTGCTGCCCACAGGAATTCCATCCTGCTGAATTCCTCTGGAGCACCCCTTCCATGAGGTCACTCTGGTTTGGGGATGGCCAGGTCCCCTTGGTGACTTTTTTTTTGTTTTTTCCAAAAAAAAACCCCTTCAGAGACAGGGACATGTTCTCCCAGCTCCACCACGGACCRAAATCTCGATTAAAGAGAAACAATGGGGTGCTAATCCGGGGGATGGCAGAGCTGCCAGTTGTCCGGCTCCGTGCTGGAGCTCCACTGGCATTCCCGGCAGAAACATCCCCTCCATGCAGGGGCCCTTATCCCRGCCATCCCACTCGCATTCCCGAAATAGGGCCGGAGGAGGCGGCCGGGGGTGGCGTCCCGGCATCCTGCTGAAGGACACCGGYGCGGCAACGTCCCCGCGTGCCCTGGCTGCCACTGGCCCGCCTGTCCCCTTGCCTTTGAACATGGTGGCCTCTCCTTGGCCCTCCTTCTGCTTGTCGCGGAAGAGCCGGTAGCAGGCGGCGGGGCTGGCCAGCAGCATCCGGAACCGCTGCGGGAACACGGCCAGGGTCAGCTGCAGCCCTGCCGGACTGCGGGGGATCATTTCTGCAAAGAACCTSAGCTCAAACCTTAAAATCAGGCTGATTTGCTGTTATTTAGTGCCTTTTTTAACTCACAGAGGGTTTGCAGGCATAAACATTCCTTTTTTGAGCCATCCAGGTCAAGGCTCGGTTTCCCCAAGGGAAAAATTTGTGTGAGAAGCAGCAAAAGCCATGATGGAGGGAAGAGAAATGTTCTGAGAGCATGTAGCCATGAATATTCCTCTTTTTGAGCCATCCAGGTCAAGGCTCCGTTTCCCCGAGGAAAAAATCCGTGTCAGAACCAACAAAAACCGTGACAGAGAAATGTTCTAAACACATGTGGGCATAAATATTCCCGTTTTTTAAGCCAGCCTGTGTCAAGGCTCGATTTCCCAGAGGGAAAAATCTGTGTTGGAATCAGGAAAAACCCTGACRGAGGGAAATGTTCTGAAACCCTCTGGGAGATGCTGAGTTGCTGCAGACCCTTGGGGATCTCGGGGCTGGAATTTCTTGGATACCTTTGCAGGCGCCTCTTCCCTTCCCTTTGTGCTTGTTAATGCCCAGTTCATTAATGCCCAGTTCATTAATGCCCAGCCCATCCCTTTTTTGTGCTCCCATCCCTCATTTTGGGGTCGGGAGCAGAACCCAAGCAAACCTTGGCTGGGGTGTCCAAGGAACGAGCTCTGGGGTTTTCCCGATGGGATTGGTGTCCCAGACAAGGAGCCCTGGAGCGGGGTGGGGGCCCATGAGTACCTTTTTGTCAGAGGTGGGGACAAAGGTGACAAACTCGCTGACRTTGCCCACAGCCAGCCAGTCAGAGTAGAGCTCCACAGGAGCCTGGACGCGCTGGGCAAAGAGGAAATCCCGCACCAGCCTGGTCATCCTGCGGCCCGCGGCTCTGGGGGGACATTCCCACAGGGAAAAGGGGGACAAGGATTTCTCCGTCATTATTGGCTCAGGTGTCCACTGCCACCGAGGCAAAGGAGCTCAGGCAGTGTTAATGACYGCAATTAACCCAATTTTGATAATATTTAGGGTTCTTGTTGTTGCCTTGCTCTTTTCCCAGACCTATGCTTTTCCCAGATCCGCGCCTTTCCCAAATCTGCCCCTTTCCCTGATCCATGCCTTTCCCAGATCTACGCCTTTCCCAGATCTGCACCTTTCCCAGATCTACGCCTTTCCCAGATCCGCGCCTTTCCCAGATCCGTACCTTTCCCAGATCCGCACTTTTCCCAAAACTGCACCTTTCCCAAATCCACGCCTTTCCCAAATCCACGCTCTTCCCAGATCTGCTTTTTCCCAAACCCGTGTTTCCCCCTCTCTTACGCGGGGAAGCTGCTTCCAACGAGGATCCTTCCCAGGGGATACTCCTTGCCGGCCACGGCCACGGGCGGGCTGACCGCCGTGTTCCCGAAGGAGTCCAGGCTGGCCGCAGCTTCGAACAGGGGCTCCTTGTGCACGTAGCCAAAATTGGGGCCCTGAGAACAGAGGGGTCACCCTGAAAATCCTGCTGCTCCCCCAGCTTCGTCCTCCTGCTGGGGGATGAGGACACCAGGAGAGAGCCTGTCCGAGGAGAGGAAAGGAAAGGGAAAGAGGAGAGATTGTGGGGTCCTGCAGGCACAATGAGCGGCACAATCCAGGAGCAAAGCCTGTCTGGAGCGGAAGAAAAAGCAGAAGGGGAAAGGAAAGGCAGGAGAAAGATCTCAGGGTCMCAGAGGTGGGGATGAACGGCGCAGTCTGGGAGCGGAGCCTTGTCCAGAGGGGAAAGGAAAGCCAGGAACAGAAAGATCTCGGGGCAGGGATGAACAGCACGATCTGGGAACAAAGCTGAGCCATGTCTAGACGGGAGAGGGAAGGAAGGAGAAAGATCTCAGGGTCACGGAGGGGCAGGGATGAGCGGCACAGTCCAGGAGCAGAGCCTTGTCCAGAGGGGAAGGAAAAGCAGGAGAAAGATCTCCAGGTCACGGAGGCGCAGGAATGAACTGCACAATCCTGGARTGGAGCCTTGTCTGGAGGGGARAGGGAAGGAAGGAGAAAGATCTCAGGRTCACGGAGGGGCAGGGATGAACAGCACAATCCAGGAGAGGAGCAGCAGAGCCAAGACCTTGAAGCCAGGCCAGCCCTCCTGGTTCTCTCTCTCTCTCACAGCCAAGTTTTAATGCCCCCATTAAGGGAATGAGGCAGCCCCGAAGGTGTTCCTGGATGGCTCTGGGAGTCAGAGGAATTCCAGCCCCAAGGGTGACTCTACCCAGGGCTAAGAGCCACCCCGAGGGCTGCATGGGCACTTAAATCCTGGTTAAGCCCTGATTTCCAAGACTTAAGCATCTGGGATTGGAGATGCCATGCTGCAGGGGTAATTAGCTCCTGGCTYGGTGTGCAGAGCCTGAGGGAGCGTTAAAAACGGGGGAAATGGCCGCGACGGCATCCAAATCCCACTGTCCCTGCGGTGCAGGCCCGGAGTCTGAAGAAGCATTAAAAACAGGGGAAAAGGGCTGCAATAGGATCCGAATCCCACTGTCCCCACTCTCTGGTTTGAGGCCATGCAGGCCCAGAGCCTGAGGGAGTGTTAAAAACGGGAAAATKACTGTGATGGGATCCAAATTCCACTGTCCCTGCGATGCGGGACAGCAGCCCCGGGATGGGATCACATGTCGGTAAGGTTTGAGCTGAATCCCTGTTACTTATCAGGGTTGGGTTTCCATGGGGATAAACCAAACACGCAGGTCAGGAATAACGGGCAGGGAGACAYGCGGGTGCCCGGCTCCCACCTGGAGATTCCCTGTTCACACCCAGGGCATTGGGAGACGCTGGGACAGGGTGATCCCTGCTTTCCCAAGGCTCCCCGGGTGCTTTTGGGGTGCATTTCTGGGGGATGGCCGGGGTGGGATCCCTATTTCTGCGGAGCTGAGGGAGGGATGAGCACGGAGCACCTGCTCCCGGCTCATTTCAGTTTAATGAGAGCCCRGAGCCCGCCCGGTTTCAATGTCAGGGCTCCGGTTCATTGCAGGCTGGCAGGTCCCATCCAAGCCCTATCAGTTCGYCGCTGATTTTGAGGGGATAATTCTCTCCCATCTCCTTTTTCCCTGGCAGGGCCTTGCAGGGGCTCGGGGCTTGACCTGTGCCCGCTGTGCCGGGTGAAGCATTCCGAGCTGGAAAATGAGATTGGAGAGATCGGGGTGGGGATTAGGGGCGGCTTCAGAGCCAAAATTGGAGGATAACGTGTTAGCGGCTCCCAAGGCTGAAATTGCTGCCCTAAATAYGAAGCAGAGCAATTCCTAAAGAGGGCAGATCCCTCGGCCACCCGGCGGATTCGCTCTTCCCACCCCTCCGGATGAGCCCGGGACTGGATGTACCCACACCAGGCATGAGAAACGACGGATTCCAGCGCTCCTGGCAGCCCTCAGCCTTCCCCAAAGGGACAAAAGCCCGGACTTGTCCTTGATTCCCATTCCTGCCTGGGCAGAGGCTGTCCCGGTGCCCAGCCAGGAGTCAGGGACTGTGATTCTGCGGCTGCCTGGGGGTGTCCAGCCCTTCCCATGTGGGGGTACCCCAATGGGATCGCTTGATCCCGCTTTTTTCCATGCTGGACTCTCCCAAAACAGAGAGCCCTTTTCCTTGGCCAAGGCACCCTCAGGGATGTTCCCAGAATTGTCTTCCGATGACATGCACTGACCCTCTCCTGCTTTCCTTCCCTCTCCRTCCAGAACTGCCGGCTATTCCCAGGCACAGGGGAGGAAAGGGGACACCAGCCCATCCCTGGGATGCTCAGGGGGAAGAAATCCCATCCCAGAGCTTGGCAGGAGCCTTTCATTCCCACAGGCTTCAGCCCCTCCTTTCCCCTCTCCTCCGGCACCCTCTGTGTATTTTCTGGATGAGCCGCTGAGGGGATGAGGGTGGGATGGAATCTCCATGTGGAACTCCTCAAATCTCATTTCCCAGGTGATTCCCTGTTCGAGGTAGGTTTCAGGAACGGGAATCAGGGAATGTCCCCAGGGAATGTCCCCAGGGAACACCGGGAGCCCCTCCCTTACCAGCAGCTCCTTGACCGGGAGTTGCTCCGTCCCTCTCTCACGAGGGGAGTCCAGCACCACCGGGAAGCTCTTGTGGGGAGCGTGGGTGTAGCCGAGCTCGATCTCGTCCTGCAGAGGGGAGGGAATGGCGCTGGGGYGCCAGCAGGGAAGGGCGTTCCCCCTTCCTGGAGTCCCCCTACCTGCATCCAGCGGTCCCCGCGGTTGGCATAGCCGGAGCAAACCTTCAGCCCGCAGCCGGCCTTGGCCACCAGGCTCTGGATCTCCTTGGTGAACAGGTAGTTGTCCTTCAGGCTGGGAAAGGAGGGAAGGATGGGATGGATGGAGGATGGGAAGGGTGGGATGGGATTGGGATGGAAGGATGGAAAGGACCAATATTCCCTGTTCCCAGCCCCTCCCTGGGACCCCAGGATTTACCTGCAGACAAAGAGGGTCACCGGGGTCAGGATGTTGGGGGTCATGATCCACGGGGCCACCCGGAACAGCACGGTGTCCGTGAAGATCGGAGAGGGGGGCATGCCCTGGGGGAGCCAGGCAGAATTCAGGGATGTTCCACACCCCATTCCCCCCAAATAGCATCCCCCGAGGGCGTTTGGGGATCGGTTAAAGGGATCACTCTCCATTCCATCRCCATCCCATTTCCAGAGCTCCTGAACCTCGGCCAGGGTCTCCAGGGGACAGACATGGATGGATGGCAGCTCTGAGAAGATCTTGTTGGGAAAGGGTTGGGGTTGGGATTGGGGTCTGGGTTAGGATTGGGGTTATTGTTTGGGTTGGGGCTGGGGTTGAGGTTAGGGTTAGGGCTCTCCCCCATTCCCAGAGCTCCCGCACCTCAGCCAGGATCTCCAGGAGACTGATGTGGATGGACACCAGCCCCGAGAAGGTTTTGTTGGGAAAGGGTTGGGGTTACCGCTAGGGTTGTGGTTAGGGTTAGGGTTGTGGTTAGGGTTGGGGTTTGGGTTAGGGTTGGGCCTCTCCCCCATTCCCGGAGCTCCCACACCTCGGCCAGGGTCTCCAGGAGGCTGACGTGGATGGACACCAGCCCCGAGAAGGTCTCATCAGGAAAGCGCAGCCCCTCCACAAAGAAGTCGAGCTCGGCGGTGCCCCCGGGGTAGGGCACGATGTGGAACAGCTTCCGGCGGCCCAGCACCTGCACGTAGCGCTGCCCGAAAAAGGGATCTGTGGGGGTGACAGGGAAAACGGGAAAATCCCCAGGGTTCTGTGGGAATTGATCCATTCCCTTGGGCACAGAGCTCCCACGCTCCCACCGTGACCAAGTTTCTCCAGCTCTGTGGCGATCCAGCTGTGAGGAGCAGGAGTTAATGGGTTTGGAATTTTGTCACAGACAAGGATGAGGGAGAATGTCTCAGCATTTCCTTGGACGGAGCAGTTCCAAGTTCCAGGATGGAACAATTTCCCTTTCCTTGGAGCTCCTGCTGCCCCATAGGAGGGCAGCACCCCCGTCCCTCCCCCTGCCGGACCCCCTTGGGAAGGAGGGACACAGCTGAGCTCCTCCATGGCCCATCCTGGGCTGGGGCATGGTCTGAGGGGCGTGGAGAGGGCAAGTCCAAGATGGGAGGGAAAGGGCTGAGAGGGATCCCAAAAACATCAGAGAGGAGGAGGAAGAGGAGGAGGAAGAGGAGGAGGAGAAGGAAGAGGAAGGAGAGGAAGAGGAAGGAGAGGAAGAGGAAGGAGAGGAAGAGGAAGGAGAGGAAGAGGAAGGAGAGGAAGAGGAAGGAGAGGAAGAGGAAGGAGAGGAAGAGGAAGGAGAGGAAGAGGAAGGAGAGGAAGAGGAAGGAGAGGAAGAGGAAGGAGAGGAAGAGGAAGGAGAGGAAGAGGAAGGAGAGGAAGAGGAAGGAGAGGAAGAAGAGGAAGAGGAAGGAGAGGAAGAGGAAGAAATAGAAAAGAAAAAGGAGGAAGGGGCAGAAGAGGAAGAGGTGGAGGAAGAACAGGAAGGGGCAGAAAAGGAAAGGGGAGAAAAGGAAGGGGAAGAGGAGGAAGCGGCAGAGCAGGAAGAGGAGGAAGAGGAACAGAAAGAAGAAGCAGAGTGGGAAGTGAGGAAGGCCTTACTCTGCACATGGAACACCCCGACTTTGTCAGCATCGTKCACGGACACTGAGAGGACGATCTCATAGCCACGGGGCAGGCGCTGGGGCCCCTCGGTCCTCAGCACCATCGGGGCCATGTCCAGCAAATCTGGGGGTAAAGAGAACCACCTGGGGGGAGCCTTCCCCGTTCCCTCCTGGGGTCTGAACTCCTTCCCCAGAAAAATACCCTTCTGTCGCCACCAGCCTCRGCAACCCAAAATCCCCGGTGTCCCTCTGGCAGAACCGGGGCCTCACCGGTTCCAACCCAAACCCTTCTCCCCACTCGTTCTCCCTGCCCGTCCCAGCACGGCCGCTCCTTGACCTCACAATCCTGAMGGCTCCGCGTGGGCCGGAATTTCCAGGAACGGGTGGGTGGATTCCTGGCTGCCGGCCCCGTGTCTTGCCCCGAGCTCCTTTCACCTGCGTGGAGCATCCCCAGCCCACGCTGCGCCGGCCCTGGCAGCTCGGCTATTCCCAGGCCTGCCCCCGCGCCCTGCTGGGCTCCAATTAACGTGCGCGGCATTAATTGCACAGAAATTGCCCCGTGGGAAGCTGACTCAGCAGCTGGTGGGAGCAGCTGGCTATGGAGCCGGTTCTGTCCCGGAGAGGTCACGGACGGGATCGCGGGCAGCGCCGGGCGGTTCTGCGGAGCCGCGGTACCTTCTTTGCTGAACACGTGCTCGTGGTCGCAGTCGGARGGGGGGATGAAGGGGAACTCCTTGTCACAGCTGACCAGCACGATGGCCCCGTGGCCATTGGGTCCCCAGGCCCAGGTTGCCTGAAAYACCGCAGGGGCTCAGTGAGCTCGGGGCCCGTCAATCCCATGGGTTTCCCGTGCGCTGTGGGAGGCTGAGGTACCTTGTTGGGGCTGTTCCGTTCCACTACTCCGTCCTGATCCGCGTCCACGTCCAGGGAGATCCCTGGGGACAGATCCACCGTCACCCCGGGGCGGGTGCAAACCTCCCCGTCCCCGTCCCCACCCGCTCCGGGCCTCCAGGGGACGGGGCTGCCCCGGGTGCGGAGCGCCGCACTCACCGAGGCCGGTGAGGAACACCCCGGCTTGGTTGATGGGCTTCCCTCCCTCGGCGAAGAAGCTGACGGTGACCTGCAAAGCCCCGAATCCGCGCTGGGGAAGGAGCTCTCCCCTGCGGAGCTCCGCGGGCTCCGTCCCCTCCTCACCTTGTTGTCGTTGAGCTCGGAGCTGGCCCGGCTCATGCTGACCCTCAGCGCTGTCCCTTCGTGCAGCGGCCACCGCGCCCCGGAGCCGGCCACGGGCTCGGGCTCGGCGCGGCCCCGCAGCAGCACGGCCACGCTCACGCCCTCCGTGTGCTTCACCCCGAAGGCCACGGCCCCGGCGGGGGCCGCCCTGCCAGGAACACGCGCGGTTCTCAGCGCTCCGCGGGCTCACTGCGGCGTTCCCGTTCCCGCCGGGATTCACCGCGCTGCGGCCGGGAGCGGGCACCCACCCCGGCGTGTGCACGGTCACCGCTGGCACCCTCCTGCCCCGCTGCTGGCCGGGAACGGCCGGCACCCTCCCGGGAGCGGCCGGTACTTTTCTGGGCACCATCAGCACCGTCCCGGGAACGGCCGGCACCCTCCTGGGAACCGACGGCACCCTCCTGGGAATGGCCGGTACCTTCCTGGGCACAGCCGGCACCTTCCCGGGAACCGCCGGCACCTTCCCGGGAACCGCCGGCACCTTCCCGGGAACCGCCGGCACCTTCCCGGGAACCGCCGGCACCTTCCTGGGCACAGCCGGTACCTTCCTGGGCACAGCCGGTACCTTCCTGCCCTTCTCCTGCCCGGGAACCGGGATTATCCCGCCGTTGGGGCCGGTTTAGCCCCACGGGCGTTCGTAGCCATCACAGAAAAGGATCCCAACCAAACGTTCAGTGCCGCACTGGGGCTGATGTTTCCATGGAGAAATCCCAGTTTATTTTCCARCCCGGCGTCTAACGGCTCCTCAGAGCACTGATCCCTCTGAGGGACTTTTCCACGGACGCTCTAATTTTGGGGGATTTTATGGATTTTATCCGGCCCCAAAGCTGTCAGTGCTGCCCTGCTCCCAGCCACGTGTGCCCTCGCTCTTCCCCAGCCGCTCCGGGCAGCCCCGTCCCCTCTCCCGGCTCCTTTTCCCCMATTTCCCTGCCCTCCCAGGTGATTATTCTCGGGCTGATTGCCCCGACACCCGAGCCCTGAATTGCTCGGATGCCGCCGGTCCCACCGAAGCCGCGGGAAGGAGGGGGGCAGGAAACCCGAGCGCTCCTTTGCTCCCGCCTGGGTGTTCCTCAAACTCTTCAATTGCCTTTAATTACACACGGAAAAACTGGTTTGGTTTCCTGGTTTCTTGGATCTGGGGATCCCACTGGGAAGAGTGGCCTGGAGAGGTGCCAGGGGAGCCGTAACTGCGCTGCCTGGCCGGGATATCGAGGGTGAGATTTGCAGCAGCACGGGCCTGGATCAACCCGAGCTTTCCAAATTCTGTTTCCCTCGGGGGCAATAATTATCCCGGAGTTCAGAGCTGGGTTTTTTTTCAGGGAAGTGCTGCAGGGATTTCTCACTTTCCCAAGATTTTGGTCACTGGATCTCGTGTTCTTCCCCTCCTCTGCAGACCCTCCCGTTCATCCCTCTGCTCTCCGGAGATTTCCAGGATGCCCTGACCGCAGCATGGACCGGGGGTAAAAYGGGGACGTTCAAAGCTTTCTAGGGATTTGTGCGGGTTCTGCCCGCAAATTGYACCAAAACGGTGTCAGGGCTGTGGGATTTTGGGAAAGGGGAGGGAAGAACGATGGTTTGGGAAAGCAGAGGGAAAAATGAGGATTTGAGAAAGCAAGAGGAAAAGTGAAGGTTTGGGAAAACAGAGGAAAATGAAGGTTTGGGAAAACAGAGGAAAATGAAGGTTTGGGAAAACAGGAGAAAAAATGAG